GTTATGAGAATTGGTCAGGGCAGTGAACCCTTTTTATATTTGAGTTGGAACCCATTATAAGAATTGGATACTTCACAATACAATCCCATTACAGATGGGGATTGGTGGAATGACTATGTAGATAATAAAATGGAATGGTAACAACAAATAACAATGCAACTGATTAATTTAACACCGAAAATGTTGGTTTTGTTATGTTTTTTTTTAGGTGTCACTAATTAACATTTACTTTTTACTTTGGTGGTGGGACGTCACAAAAGGTTATTACTACATCCGTCATTGTCACATTCCTTTATACGTCATTAAACATTTCATACTCGTTTTTATATTCCAAAGTTTTTATAGTGGTGACAATGGTGATTGATTAAAGGACATTAATGTTATATGGTAAATAGAGGTAGTTGGCACCTAGCAATGATGGAGGAAGGATTTGGAAATGCCATTAATTTTTCGGCCATTGGTTCTAAGGTCAATCGTTCGTTTATACGCGCATATATCAACAAATCAAAATTATTCGGCTATCGATGCAAATTCCTTCTACATGTGTATAGAGTCTATAGACAAGACAACTGATGATAGTAAAGCTCCCTTCTGGCTGGAATAAGTTGTAAATGATGATATTGTTGTATCCTCTTAATTTTATCAATGAGTTCTTCTTTCCAAAAAAAAAAAAAAAACTTGTGGACCGAGGGGGATTGGGGAAAGTGGGGGTATTGTACGGAAATTGAATAAACGGTTAAAAGTTGTTCCACATGAAATGAGTAGGACCTTTCGGCAGTTGATTACTTGGCTCTCCTTTTCCCACCATTGAAGCATTGTCATTGTGTGGGCTCTCTCAAGTTTCAGAATTTTAGGTCATCATCTTTGGTTTTTTCTTTTTAAAAAAGGTATTTGGATGAACAAAAAAAGAATGAATAACGTGAAATAAAGTTACTTATGTATCTTACCATGCAATTTATAAAGTGTAAAATATTGTAGTAAAAATGATAAATAAATTACTATAGGATGTTTAATTTTCTTTCATTAATTACTCTAGATTTTCTAAGTCACAGAGTTTCCTAATTTTCTATATAATCAACTTAAATCACTCAAACCTACTATGCAATGCATTTCCTTCCAATCTTTTGTGTTAAAATAGTGTTGGATCGGCTTCCAATTGCTTTAGTCCTGGTCACAAAAACACACAGAGATTGAACATTTCTTTTAGAGTAAAAATTTGATTATTTTGCGACAACACAGATATTTTGTTTTAATTTCGTTTTAGTGGTTGGTTGGTGTGGTAAGATAACATTGACTAAATAACATCCTTGTCGATTAACTGTGGAATAAAAATAAGAAGAACAATAAAAGTGTTTTAGGTGCTAATAACACAGTGTATTTCGTCTCTTTGCATCGAGTTCGGTCTTTTTCCTTTCACACGAGAGTAGTTTATAATATCGCTTTTGTTAAAAAGAAAAATTAAGGGGTTTTTGAGTCCACCTGCTGCGTCAAGAATATTAAAAAGGACCAGACTGGTTTGGGGAATTGAATACGAACCATCCAGTTGTTGAAATGTGTTACTTTTTTTAGTCGGGATTCTTTTATATTTATTTTCCTTCTTTCTGCAACTTTTTAGTGTGCTTGGCTGCTAGCCTGCTGGTTTTAAATTAAACAAATATTTTAAAGCGATGCGTTGCTTTGCTTTGAGGACAGGGTCATGTAAGTGTATGATCAATAATTAGAGGCTCCCCCTTGAGGATTATCCTTCTTTGTTTATGTTTTATACATTAAAAATAACTATTTTCAAGTGCTAATAACAATTAGTTTATTTATTTATTTATTTATGAGCTTTCTGTATATTAGTGTGATGTGCATTACTTGCTACACCGAAAGCATGGATGGATTAACCAAGGTGGTTGGTGTGAGTGGTTCGGCACTCTCATTCCTTAAGAGATATCAAGGGTTTGATCTCTGCTCTCGTACGGAGTCACCACTTTGGCCCACACTTTACCACCTCATCTCATGGTTCAGACCAAAAAAAAAAAGCATGGATGGATTATGGAGGATACGGTGAGTTTCATTTCGTCCACAACACAAATGTAAAAGACAAAAGCATCGGGTTTACTAAACTAATTAATTAGCTAAATATAATATGCTTAAGGTGTTATGATCAGAATATAATTGTTTTAATGATGCTTCGTCCTCTTGTTATAATACATCATGGCGTGTGCTGTGGCTGTCTCCCTCTCTCTCTCTCTGCGTCCTCTGGTTTTTGCTACCAAAGCAATCCGAAAGTGGTTAGTTAAAGGATGGGCAGCCCGAGACACAGACTGACGAGCCTCTCCGATGAAACCAATACACTGACCCCTAGGCACTGGTCAAACTTTGAAGTTGAACCACACCAAGCCCAAGCCCAACCCAAAGCCTTCCCAATTCATTGACCTTTTCTTTTTTTAATTTTCTTTTGGGTCCTTCTTATGACATTTTGTGCTAGAGTTGGCCTGGTACAAAGCCCAAACTAGGAGATGGAGATTACTGTTTTCCTTTTGCTATTTTAAAAGAGAAACAGCACATCAACACGTGGCATTACTTGAAAACACTGACAATTGTAAGAATTGTTGCATACGTGAGTGAGTTATGAGAATTGGTCAGGGCAGTGAACCCTTTTTATATTTGAGTTGGAACCCATTATAAGAATTGGATACTTCACAATACAATCCCATTACAGAAAAATATGTAACACAATGCTTTATTCTATAGCTATATTTAATTATTTAATATAATTTATTTCTTTCCTATTTAATCCATTTAATGTTATTGCTTATTTTATTATTCATTATAAGTGCTTGCATTACTAAATTCCCCTTCAAATTGTTGCTTAATTACTTAAATCTCTATAATCATTTTCTTTATTTCCTATTTAATTCTTCCTTGGATAACTTTATTTATGTTCTTACTTAATTTTCAATCTTTATTTTTTAAGGTAAAGTGCTTAATTTTCATGACAAATCAAGTTGGTTTACATCTTTTATTATTTTTCAATTTTTGATAAATAATCAATATAAGAACGTGTACCATGTCATGATGTCCAATGAATAACGTGAAATAAAGTTACTTATGTATCTTACCATGCAATTTATAAAGTGTAAAATATTGTAGTAAAAATGATAAATAAATTACTACAGGGTGTTTAATTTTCTTTCATTAATTACTCTAGATTTTCTAAGTCACAGAATTTCCTAATTTTCTATATAATCAACTTAAATCACTCAAACCTACTATGCAATGCATTTCCTTCCAATCTTTTGTGTTAAAATAATAGATGATTGACTAAATAAACTTTTTACAAAGTTTCATTAAAAATTTCCATGTTTTTATCACAATTTCCGTGGTTTTTATCTAATTTTTATCAATATCGATATTTTCCCTATATTTCCATCGATATTTCCGTGTTTTTGAACCACCGATATTTTCGAAACCCTCGATATTTAAGACCTTGGTTAAGGATGAGCAGACTGACGAGCCTCTCCGCTGAAACTAATACACTGAACCCTAGGCATTCGTCAAACTTTGAAGTTGAACCCCAAGCCCAAGCCCAAGCCAAAGCCTTCCCAATTCATTGACCTTTTCTTTTGGGTCCTTCTTAAGACATTTCGTGCTAGAGTTGGCTTGGTCCAGTCCAAAAACAAAACAAGCCCAAACTAGGAGATGGAGATTACTATTTCCCTTTTACTATTTTAAAAGAGAAATAGCACATCGACATTGACAATATAACAATGTAATAATTGCATACGTGAGTTAGGAGAATTGGTTAGGGCAGTGAACCCCTTTTTGTATTTGAGTTGGAATTTCCCTTCCAATACATTCGATTATTTTATTATTATATAAAATACTATCGCTTGATTGGTCAATAGACTATTTTATACAATTAGGGGGGAAAGGTAAGAATTGGATACTTCACAATACAATCAAATTATAGGTAGTAGTTTGTGTTACAATTATGCCCCATGGACAACTTGCAGGGGCGGTTTTTTTTTTTTTTTTTGTAAATGACCAACTAGTGTGTAGTGATTTAGAACAATTGGTTTTCTATAAAAGATTAGGGTTTGAGTTATAGTATTTGTGTAGTGTGTATAAATTTAATATGCTAAACTTAAAAAAAAAAAAAAAGCGTATGTTTTTCTATGCATATGAATATTAGAGGGAATTTCACAGTATATCTATATAATAGCAAACTCAACTCCCACAGCGTATATAGCAAATTGAATATATGCATGCACACACGTTGAACAAATTGAATAAACTAAACTATCAAACCACTATAAACAAATTGAACCAACTCCAATTACATCATCAAAAATCACTTCCATACAATTACATCATCAAACCATATACGACAACATCATCAAACCATATACGACAAACCACAACCACACACTGACAACAACCAAAGTACCAAAACAGGTTAAAATCCTCATCACAGAAGCAAAAGATTCTCAACACAGACAAAAGAATACTTCGAAATGAACACTTTGCTTTTGAATTCTTCAAAAAGATTCATTTGCAGCCTTTCCCTCTTTTCGAATTTGGAAATGCCATTCATTTTTTTGTCATTGGTTCTACCGTCAACGTTCATATGCGAATATATCAACGAATCATTGTCATTGTGTGGGCTCTCAACTTTCAGAATTTTAGGTCATCATTTTGTTTTTTCTTTATTTTTATTTTTGTTACAAAAAAGGTATTTGGATGACGAAAAAAAGAATACTTGACCGTTGGATCGGCTTCCAATTGCTTTACTCTTGGTCACAAAAGCACACAGAGATGGAACATTTCTTTTAGGGGACATGTAACTGGTGCTTAAATAATTGCTTTCCTAGTATATATTTGATTATCTTTCTTTGTTTACGTTTTATACATTAAAAATAACTATTTTTAAGTGCTAATAACAATTAGTTTATTTATTTATTTATGAGCTTTCTGTATATTTGTGAGATGTGCATTACTTGTTAATAACAACATAAAAACAAAAATGTTTTATTAAAAAAAGAAAACCAGGAGACAAACACATACAACAGAAATACATAAGAATTGGGGTACTTTCTCAATCCAGTCCCATTACACACAAATATGTAACCCAATGCTTTATTCTACAACTAGCAAGCTGTTTGTAATACAATTATACCCCATGGACGATCTTCATTACTCAAGGGCAACCTGCAGGGGCAAATCCGACTCTTCCTCCAGCGACGTCATACACAACCTCCAACCTCTTCTGTTGAACATTCCCAATAATCCCACTCTGACTGTCATCCTCGTTTTCGGCGAACGCCAAGCAAACCATATCCACGCTCACCGCGTAGAATATCCCAGTCGCGTCCAAGTCTTGCGTAAGCCCGTCACCAAACACAAACGAAATACTCGGATACGACACCGTTTTGAAGCTGCTGAAGTTGTAGCAAGTGTCGAGTATGTCGAACGCGGACTCAGTCAACGGATAGCTCATCATTGCTTGAAGAAACGCCGCCCTCAACGCACTGTACGCCGCCGGCGGCAGCCGCGTGATCACCGTTCCGGAATCTATTATCGTCCCCCTAGAAAAGACCGAAGCCAAAATCGGCAATTTAGTCCCGCCGACATTGATCCCGGTGACGTTGAGGCCGTAATACGGGTTGCCTTGGGAGACGGTGGAGAGGGTCGTGAACTTGACGGCGTTGGAAGATCTGCCGCCTTTGCCGAATCTGAGGTAGCCGGGGGAGCACGAGGTGGAGGGGAGGCAGTAGGAGAAGAACCTGTTGTATTTATTGGCGGTTTGTTCGACAATGGAGATGTTGCTTCGGCCGAGACCGAGCAAACCAGCGGATCCGTTGAAAAGGCCTTCGTTGTCTAGGCCGCAGCCGAAGAGGAAACCTTCAAAAACGTCCGTGGGGGTCAATGTAAGCTTTTCGCTGCCAAAGACCCCGATAGAGAAGGACATGTCACCGTACTCGGCGGCGTAGAGGCAGGTGGAGTCGAAGCAGCTTTGTTCGACGCCAAGAGATAAGAGCTGAGTACATGCGGCGGTGGTACATGAGATGGTTTTGTATGAGGTGGAGAGAGAAGGGTCGAAGATGGGCTCGCTCTGTGTGTAACAAGATCGAACACATGGGCGACATTGGGTCCAGGTGAGGTCGCTGCCAGTGTCAAAGATGAGGGAGAGTTGCTTGGCGGGTGTACCAAGGCTGACAGTGACAATGTAGTTCCCTGAGCTGATAATGTCACCAGACTTGGCGGGGAGGGTGGTGGCGGCGGATTGGGTGAGTGGGTCTCTGTTGTTGTTGTGGTTGAGGCGGGAGTGAATTGAGTTGACTCGGGCTTGGTCTTGCTTGAGGATTTGAGTATGGTATTTTTCATCACAAGTTGTGGTTGAAGTTTTTGATGATTTGTGGAATTTGGAGCATGGCCCATGTTTGTGCACCACTTTCAATACCGATGATGCCTTGTTATTTTTATGACCTGAGATCATTGAAACATGTATATATATAGGTGAGTCTCTTTATGCATATTCAGAAGGGTATACTAGTGATCTGCCTCCTGAACTTATACTTAATTTTCAATTAACCCCTTATCCTTTTTTTTTTAGAAAATTAAGGATATGAACTCTTTTTTTTTTCCTCTAATTTCCCCCAACATCGAAGAATGGGGTTCCATGGAAGGAATCAGTCTGTGGGTGTAGAAAAGGGCTTTCCACCTTCTAAGATGAAGCAAGTATACATGGCTAGACAGACCTCAAGTGGGAGTTCAACAACGCCCTGAGGAGCTACAAAATGAGCTGCTTGGATTTGAGGAAAAAGAAAAAGAGAGCCTATAGGTTGAAGGAGATGTTCAGGAATAAAGAGTTTCGGTTGCTTTTTTTTTTTGCAGGGTGCGTGTCTAGTATTGAGATTGAGATTGATATTTTTTTGAGATATATCAATAGATAGGTATGCTGGTTTTCCCGATGAGGTTGCAGAAATTTTGGGCCTGCCTGGTGGTAGCTCGATTAGAAGAAAAAAAAGATGATTAGCTCGGAGACGTAATAGTTGTATTGACATTGACGATGACGGTGACATTTTCCTTGGACTTGGAGACATCGGGTTCGGGCTGGCGGAGGAAGAGGGCGGAGACAGAGAGGGCTTGGACTGGGTGGGCCGAGACAACGTCGTGGAAGAAGAAGGGGTGGCCGGCCGAGACGACGCCGTAGGGGGCTTTGTGTACCCCACAGGCTTCCTGGAGCGGAAAGGCGAGATGGAGGATCTTTGTGACCTTGAGCTTGAGGTGCCGCCGGAGAACATTGCTGGGTGTAGAGAGAGAAACGCTGGGTTTAGAGAGAGAGAGAGAGAGAGAGAGAGAGATTATTTCTGTTTTTTATTTTATTTTACATTATTTATTTATTTTTAATATACAAAAATGACCATTTTGCTCCCATTTTTAACGGCAAATAGAATGAAATGTTGTGAATTTAGATGGAGGGGGGCAATTGGCCAAAAACAAGAGTTCATATTCTTAATTTTCTAAAAAAAAAGATATGAGGTTAATTGAAAACTAGGTACAAGTTCAGGGGCAAGATCACTAGTATACCCTATTCAGAATTATAATGTAAGTATAACTAGTTAAGTAATGATAAAGATACATAAACAACATATAAGATTCACGGCATTCCATCCTCCTTATAATTAAGCCATGCAATTATGTATAAGCAAGTTCTAAAAGAGTACTCAATGCTGTTGAGATTGAAAAGACAAACATGAATACATAGAGAGAGAAAGAGAGAGAGAGAGAGAGTGTGTGTTAGTTAGAGACACATAAATGCACATAAAATTGGGTTTAAAATTAAGTTATATATATATAATATGGGATGAATTAACCTTTGGTGGAGGGGCTGCAGGTAGTTGGTGGTAGAAGAGACTTTACTTCAACTGTGTGAGTGGTATGTGGGAGAGGGTGGGGTTTTGTATCTCTTGCTGCCAAAGCAAATCCGTTGTCGAAAGAGCAGAGAATTAGGCATAGAAATACAGAGAAGAAACCCATGAAAAACCTAAGGAAGGAGGAGCTAGAAATAATGGGAGTTGCCATGAATAATTAACAAGATTGCCTCTAGATTATTGAGTTGCTGCTGTAATGTAATCTTGGCCTTATTTAAGGAGAAACTATAGGCTAATTGGAGAGAGGGATGTCAACTGGGTTTATCGGCCTCAATTTCCAAGCATTTACAGATGAAAAGTACAGTTTTCAATTCATATAGGACGTTGTCAACACGTCCAATAATTAGTTATTTTGAGGTAAATTGTATTTCAACCGTGTTTATAGATGATTTTTACAAAATATTAGATAATTTAAAAATTATTAAAACATTTAATTGTGACTTATAAAATAAACAAATGCAATATTTTTTTAAAAACATTATAGTCGTTTAACTAATTATCTATCACCTGTCAATTTTGTGTTGCATAAAAAAACAAAACCCAAAGACAGAGTCATTAGAACCCAAAGACAAAGAAGATGAAAGAATGAATATGCATGTCAATATTGTAATTAAAGCGCAGTGGACTTGGAGTCTGGAAAGTAATTTGTTTTTGGAAAGTATAGCAGACGTTCCTGTTTGGTAATCAAGGCGCCATTTCCGCGTCTTAAACTTGGAATTTTCCATGCGCTTGTTGTCATTCAAAAGTCAATAAGTCAACAGAGTTTAAGCTAACATTATTAAATTAATAAAGAGTTTTTCATTTTTATATTTTTGCATATTGGGCTTATTGGCCTACCAATACCGGTCAAACAAAGTCAAAGTAACAACAAGTTTGGGCTTATTGGCCCCTGAAGACAACATGCATACATAGAGAGAGTGTGTGTTAGTTAGAGACACATAAATGCACATAAAATTGGGTTTAAAATTAAGTTATATATATATATATATATATATATATATAATATGGGAGCATACATAGAGAGAGTGTGTGTTAGTTAGAGACACATAAATGCACATAAAATTGGGTTTAAAATTAATATATATATATATAATATGGGATGAATTAACCTTTGGTGGAGGGGCTGCAGGTGGTTGGTGGTAGAAGAGACTTTACTTCAACTGTGTGAGTGGTATGTGGGAGAGGGTGGGGTTTTGTATCTCTTGCTGCCAAAGCAAATCCGTTGTCGAAAGAGCAGAGAATTAGGCATAGAAATACAGAGAAGAAACCCATGAAAAACCTAAGCAAGGAGGAGCTAGAAATAACGGGAGTTGCCATGAATAATTAACAAGATTGCCTCTCGATTATTGAGTTGCCGCTGTAATGTAAGCATACGACTCTTGGCCTTATATAGGCTAATTGGAGACAGGGATCAACGCGGTAGCACAGATGTTGTAAATTAGTGAAAAGAAATGGGCCAATTTCTTTCATTCTCAAAGAAAAGTAAAAAGAAAGGAAAAATACGCAAACATGGCCGTTTCCTAGGTATTCACGACGCAGCGGTTTGTGTGGGACGAACCGCAACCCCATAATTCTTATCCCACTCCACCACCTCCCAAAAAAAAAGGGAAAGGTAGAATGGGGACTTCCCATCAATCACTGTCCGATTAGACAGTAGATGGATGGATGCAGATGAGCAGCAGGCAGCTCCATTATATATCATCATGTGATCAATCCAACACATCATGTTGTTTTTGATGCTGTTTCTTTCGTTCTGTTTGATAAGACTATAGTCTGTCGGTGTTCCACAGTGAAACTAAAATTTGGTTTTTGAGCCCACCTGCTGCTTTGAGCCTCTTGACTCATATTAATGGGAGCATGGGGAAGTTAGGAGGGAAGGGATTTTGCGGAGCGACCAAAAAACAATGCCGCCAAGAAAAACGGGGAAAATTTGAGAGAAAAAGACAGCAGGCCAAAAAATAGAGATATTATTATTGTGGTAGAGAATTGCGAAGGTAAATTAAGCAAAAGGAATCTTATTTGGGATCAAATTTCAAAGTGATAACGCGGCATCTCTGATTAGGGTAATGGGGAGGAGGAGCATTTCTACGACAACATTCTCTGAGGGTCACATCGGCAGGCGGTCGTTAAAGCTCTCTCTCATCAAATGGGCAAGTGGTAGCAAAGTGCACTCTCGGTTTGGACACGGTTTCAATGCTGCAAAAATAACAAGCAACGCGTATTCTTTTGGTTTTGGGCCAATGAAAAAAGAAGCAACACAAATGAAGATGAGTTTCATTTCGTCCACACAAATGAAATGGACTTGTAAAACACAAAAGCATCGGGTTTGAGTCCTTCTTGAGACATTTTGTGCTAGAGTTGACTTGGTCAAAACAAAGCCCAAACTAGGAGATGGAGATTACTGTTTTCCTTTTGCTATTTTAAAAGAGAAACAGCACATCGACACGTGGCATTACTTGAAAACACTAACATAAAAATGTAAGAATTGCAAGTTAGGAGCCCTGAACCCTTTTTATATTTGAGTTGGAATTTCCCTCCCAATACATTCGATTATTTTATTATTATATAAAATACTATAGCTTGATTTGGTCATTAGACTATTTTATACAAGTAGCTAGGTAGGGGGAAAAAGGTAAGAATTGGATACTTCACTTCACAGTACAATCCCATTACAGAAAAATATGTAACACAATGCTTTATTCTATAGCTAGTAGCTACCAGTTTGTGTTACAATTATGCCCCATGCACGATGTTCATTACTCAGGGGCAACTTGCAGGGGCAAATCCGACTTTTCCACCAGCCACGTCATACACAACCTCCAACCTCTTCTGTTGAACATTCCCAATAATCCCAAAGCCACTATCATCCTCGTTTCCCGCAAACGCCAAGCAAGCCTGCGAACTACTTACCACAAAAAATATCCCGGTTGCGTCCAAGTCCACCGTAACCCCGTCCCCAAACCCAAACGCAATACCCGGATACGACACATTCTTGTAGCCCCTGAAATTGTAACATGTGTCCAGCAGCGAAACCGGCCTAGTCATCGTGTAGTTTTTCATACCCTCCCGAAACGCGTCTCGCAACGCCGCGTACGCAGTCGCCGGCAGCCGAGTGATCACCGTCCCCGAGTCGATGATGGTTCCCGAAGACGAAAAGACCGAGGACGCAACCGGCACCTGGCGCCCACCGACGCTGATGCCGGTGAGGCCGAGGCCATAAAACGACGAAGCTCTTTCAGATAACGTGGTGAGCTTGGTGAACTTGATGCCGTTAGCGGAGCCTCCTCCGTTGCCGAAGGTGAGATGACCGGTGGAGCTGGAAGTTGACGGAAGGCAATAGGAGAAGAAGCGGTTGTATTTCCTGGCGGTTTGTTCGACGAGGGAGATGTTGTTTCGGCCGAGACCGAGCAAACCGGCTGAGCCGTTGAAAAGGCCTTCGTTGTCTTGGCCACAACCGAAGAGGAAACCTTCAAAAACGTCCGCGGAGGTCAAAGTAAACTTTTCGTTAGCGAAGTCCCCGATGGAGAAGGACCCGTCTCCGTACCGGATGCCATAAAGACAGGAGGACGAGGCGGAGGAGCAACCTTGTTGGATGCCGGCTGATGAGAGTTGAGTACACGTGGCGGATGTACAGGATAAGTTTTTGTATGAGGCAGAGAGAGAAGGGTCGAAGATGGGCTCGCTCTGTGTGTAACAAGATCGAACACATGGACGGCATTGGGTCCAGGTGAGGTCGCTGCCGGTGTCGAAGACGAGGGAGAGTTGCTTGGCGGGAGTGCCGAGACCGACGGTGACTAAGTAGTTTCCTGAACCCAGAAGGAGACCGGACTTGGCTGGGAGGGTGGTGGCGGCGGCGGATTGGGTGAATGGGTCGTGGATTCTGTAGTTGAGGCGGGAGTGGATTGAGTTGACACGGGCTTCGTCTTGCTTGAGGATTTGAGCGTGGTATTTGTCATCACTTTTTGTGGTTGAAGTTTTGGATGATTTGTCGAATTTAGAGCATGGCCCATGCTTGTGTACCACTTCCAATGTTGACGCCTTGTTATTGGTATGACCTGGTCATTGAAATGTATGAGTGTACGTATACATGTGACTCTTTATATCCATCTGTGCATGCCTGCAACTAGTTTACGGGTAACAAGACCATGCATGTCATGTGGGTGAGAAGGACACAAAGGTGACGGGGCACGAGGCTCTGTTTTTTTTTTCAAATTTTTAAATAGAGTAAATTTGGTTTAGGTTTTTTTTTTTGGCCAAGCACGGGGCTCTTTATGAGTATGTTTTTTTTTTTTGTAAATGACTAACTAGTGTAGTGATTTGGAACAATTGTTTCTCTATGAAAGTTCAAGTGATAGCATTTGTGTAGTGTGTATAAATTTAAAAAAAAAGTGTGTGTACTTTTTCTATGCATATGAATATCAGAGGGAATTTCACAATATAATAGCAAACTCTACTCCCAAGCGCCATTGGAATTAACAGCGTATATGGCAAGGCCTAACGGAATACTGGATGCCAGACAATATATATATAGAGATGCGTGCACGTAATTAAAATGGGGTTTGAAATGAATTAACCTTTGGTGGAGGAGGGGGTGCATGTGGTTGCTGGTAGAAGAGAGTTTACTTCAACCGTGTGAGTAGTGTGTGGCAGAAGGTGGGGTTCTGGACTTGTTGCTGCCAGAGCAATGTCCTTTTCGAAAGAGCAGAGAATTAGGAACAGAAACACAGAGAAGAAACCCATGAAAAAAGTTAAGGAAAGAGGAGGAGCTAGAAATGAATATAGTTAACGAGCCAAGCTAGCTATTGCCTGTAGATTAAGTTTGAGCATACTATTGGCCTTATATAAACAATTTCGAGGGTTTAATTTTCTAGCATTTGCTACATACCATCGTTCTCAACACGTTCACACCCCTACCGTAACCCATTAAATTTTTGTTGTTGTTTTTTTGTGGTCGATCGACTATGTCCACCCGTTCTCTTACGTTAATTATCTTTCACCCGTGAATTATTTGTTGCCTAAAACCGAAGGAATTGCAAGGCAAAGACAGAAAAATAAAATGAAAGGAAGAAGGTTCTCTGTCTATATTCATACATGCAATATTGTAATTAATGCGAAGTGGACTTGGAGTTTGGAAGGAAGGTACTGCATGCATGCGTTCCTGTTCCTAGTCACTACTAGTCACGGATCCCAAAGTCAATGAGTCAACAGAGTCCATAGTTAAACTGATCAAAACAATCAGTTTAACTGTATCCGACCGTTCACCAAACTTTGGAATGCTCACTGATTGGTTCTTTCTTCAGACATTA